CTAAGCATCGACACTACAGAGCTCTATTGTCACGGTGAGGGAGCGCAGCCGCCTCGCGAAGAAAACCGCTGACAGTACTACTAAACCGTTTTGTAGGTGAAATACTTTACCACTGTGTCACCCTGGCAGTTTGTGCAATAGTGCGCGGAACAACAGCACAGGTTTTATAGCTGTAAGCGGGAGCCGCAATCAACAAATTTCCATACCAAAAGATGCATGTCTACTATAGTTTATTAGCCCTATGTTTGGTGTTGCAGCTGCTGTACTTGCCTAACCAATTTGCTTTTGCACATCTGAAAAATGATATATTTGTTTATTGAAATACTAATAAACCGCTACGTGGACGGCAAGGCGAAGCAGGGGGGAAAGCGGACTCAACGGGTCTGCTTTCCTTTTGGACATATCCGGTCCAGCCTGTTGACTATATATATATGGACGGCGAAGTCTGGACTTGCCTTGTCAAGCCATTGGAAATTCACTCACCAGAGACACAAGACCGTTTGTGAGTAACATCCAGAAATTCTGTATGGAATTGTTGAACTTACATGGGCCCAGCTGTTGAATGTCCAGGAATTCCTCCGGCGCCATACTACGTGGACAGCAAGCCGAAGCAGGGCGAAAGCGGTCTGCTATTGGACATATCGGGTCCAGCCGGTTGACAAAATATACGACTGCGCGACTATTGTAAAATAATTCATATATCATATGCCCATGTGTATTTAGTCATATAAATAAATGCGTGTAGTTACGATAAATATGTATACAAGACCGCTAGGAAACATCATTATAAAGTCCATCCATACCAAATCCTTTCCTTAATTCTGTTCTTATCTGTAATAATAGAGTAGCTCTTCGATATCTAATAAATCATTTTACAATTTGACTCAGATTCCCTGGTAATCATATTGGTAGAGCGGGAAACCGTTAATCCCTCTATCATGGATTAGAAGATGTAGAGATCGATTGAAAGAGCTAGATATTAAAGTTGATGCTCTCCTGTGATAGATAGTTGACCCAACAGAATTAGTATTAATCTCTACAACTTTTCCACCTCTTGTCATGCTTCTATCAATAGCTGTGGGTGTCGTGTTTGTTTGTTTACGATTTGAACGGAACACGATAATTGGAAGCAGGGAGGGTTTGCCATTGGCTGCATTTGAAGATCTGTTACAGACAATATGATAATATTGACGTGGAAAATTTCCTTGATTGTAACGTTACACTAGAGATTATCCAAACATGTCGTTTTGTTTATACCGACGCTTGACCTTCACGTTTACCCTTTACCGAGTCTTCGAGCAGCAATGCCGTCTGCTGAGGTCAAAGAGAATGTCTTTCTATTCATACCCAACATCATAGGTATGTAGTTTGCTAATGCCACACGTTGTTTCTTTACGATTCTATAGTCTCGCATAGTTACCATGCTATCGATATATCGCTATCAGCGTTCGTCTAACAAAGCTGCAGAGCTAACGTGCCTATTCTTTCTCAACATCCTTACAACACACGATAAATTTTCTCATTCAGGGTATGCTCGTATCGTTCTTGCAATCTCTTCTTTGTACTTTATGCCTACCATGCCGTGGCTTTGTATAATATTGTATTGCACATCATGTCTATTGGATGCAGTGGACGGCAATGCAGCTCGATATTTTAACCAATGTACTTGTCACGTTACTGCATTATTGGTTGTTACTGCCGATTCACTTGCTTACAACGCGAGTTTATTATTTGAAACTTACTAGGCAGCAAGTTTGGAGCAGTTTTGGATATGGTGACAGACAGGTAGCAAGAATTAATGTTTAATCGATTGTAATTGAAAATCTGTAATTAAAATTTGTCTATTCTAATAGATCAACAACAACGTGCCTTCTTTGCTATTTGGCGGCGGCTTACCCTAACTGGTCAATAGTCTTTCAACTGCTTATTTCTTTAGATCTTAGCAGTCATTACATGCATATGTACAGGTGAGAAGCTATTCAACCATTCAACCATTCACCTCAGCTATATATCGTATGAACTCATCCATGGAGTACTTGTGTTATTGCATTTGTCAAGCTCGTTGACTAGCGGTCAATCGAGTCACAAACAAGTTTCGAAGTCATCAAATTCTATTATGCGCGCATATTATTCGAATAATGTAAGTTGTCTTTGTAACATTTGCTACAGTCTTTATCGAATAACCTTGGACTAATGATGCTTCCATCTTTAAATTAAAATATGATAATTCTATTATTAGAAAGTTCTTTTCACAGTCTGTGCTCTTAATGAACTCTTTTTTGTCATAATCTATCTCTTATCATTCGGATCAGAACTTAAAGGTTGGTTCTCATCTGTTGCCTTACATTAATCAAGTGTTAATCTAATATCTCACGTCGCGTGTAAACTGAACAGGCATCGATATATCCTTGTTAAAATGGTTTGCTGTCGTATCGCTTCCGGTTTGTGCGGGGAAGCAGATTATTAATGTAATCCAATTGGTGGGAGCGAGTCAGAAATTAGCGAGGATAGATCTGGATGAACGAAGAAGAAGGACGTCGTAAATATATATGTACAGTAACAATAGCAGACAATTACTAGTAGCGAGATACGTCCTTATTAATTACGATCGAGTTGGTGTTATCCATATTAGTTACAATCTGACTGTAAAAATGATTTTATCCTTAAAAGACGTGCTCTTACGTAAAGTTTGTTATACAGAGCGAAATCTAGACATTCGACGAGATATTGTTATCAATCACACGTCCAAGGCAGTAAAATTCGTTATATTGAATAATCAGAGAGAAGTTAACACAGACGTGCTTTAATCAATACGAATAACCTCGTCTCTTGTCTCATGCATATTAACTCGGCATGTTTACCTCTTGAGAATGTGATTTAGAATATAAAACGTGAGTAGCAACAGATCCATTAAAGCGCGTTCACAGTGAATGCTGCCAAAGAGACAAACGTATGATGGCATTCAACTCTCTCTTTCTAAAGTAAACGAGTTTATAACAAGGTGCATAAAAGTACTGACCTCTGAATCAATGTAAGTTAATTGGATGACTTTCTTATTTAAGTACATGATCCCAATGGTATAGTCGCATGATCACTTCTCATACCATGACTAAGACTTTCCTTGGGTGCCTTTAATCTTGGTCGCATAACAAATAGTTAGCTTAATTCATTAATCTCAACTTCCGAATTACCTTTTACAGCTAGAACGCATTAACTGATTACTATATTCTTACTATATCAACATACTGAAAATGGGAGTAGTAAGATTCGGTTATCCTGTGCCAATATTAGTATATAACCCTAATTTTCGGTCGGTGAAGCCATGAAGAATGCTGTATCATACTTATCGCGTTTAGAGTTTAAAATATTGCATTATCAAATGACAAGAAAATCGTATATCTGATCTTCCACGGCCGACACGTCCCTGAATCATGCCAAGATGAATGTTTGAGCAAGACCTCCGGTTTGGAATTTTGAATTTTAAAAAACGCGAAAAGACTGCTTTCTCAAGATTATAATTAGGGAAAGGTGGAAAATTGCTTGTAATTTCGGAATTTCTAGCAGCAGAAATCTGAAAAAAAGCTTTGTGAAAAGAAACACTTAAAAGTCGGAATAAGGACAAATTTAGTTGCTTCCATGTAAAGCACATGCATGTTTAGGCTGGCCATGTAGAGAGACAGTTGTCTTCAACATATTGTGCATACACTTTAGATAAGAATGCACACATAAAATTAAACTGAAGGATCGAATTTATCTTAAGATTGACGTATGATTTTCAATCTTTGATTTGTGTCCAAAAAGCGCTCCGAATCTCAATGTCTCCAGACATGATAAGTAAACCTATTGAAACGATTATTACTACATGACAGCTTGCAATGTAAACTCTCACGGTATCAATAATTGAATTAATAACACGTAAGTCAAGCATTCTAGTCATGGACATTTATTCATATGGTCGATTGACTTTTGATGTTTAATTAGAAAATATCTCGTAAACTATGATTTAGTGGTTTCTGCAACATATTCCTAACAATCAAATATTACAAATAAGTAAATCTCGTGTCGATATCTATAACGACCAATACGTGCTTCCTACCTGGCTGAGTTTATTAACATGCTCTCTGAATTCAAATGCTGCATACCAACAGTCTAATGTTCTATTTTTATTCCGCCTAATAACGTTAGAACTATTGTAAGTTTTTAGTAATATTACAGAGTTTCAGACAGTGCTCAGCTCACCTATAGCATTCAATGACAGCTCTTCGCTGTTCTGCTACGCCTGCAGAACCTCTATTTTCATATTTTCTGTTTAATATATGTCCAAGTCAGTTATTAACCAATTTTTATTGATACAAGACATATTCTTCCTTTATTGCTTTACCTCTCGATTCTTCCGATTAGTTCCTCAATGTCCCGTTCAACTACAACAGAATTTACACCACTGTCCGGGTACTCTTGTCTGATTTGTGCCTCTGCCCTCGAAAAAATCTCGTCATCCAATTCTTGCATACGCCTTAATTCTGCAGCTACTCTCGCATTGACTATTTGATCGATTTCATTTGAGGACACAGACGTCGGTATGGGTTGTCGTGGGCGCTGTGGAACAAGTTAGAACTTGGCTACAACAAGACGATTAAATGAGTATGTGAATTCTAACCGATACTTGCCTTTTGACGCGCTTGTAACTGTGAAACTAGCTCATGGGAAAACTTATAGAGACAAGAGAAGGAGAAAAAAAGAAAAGAAAAGAAAAGAAACAATTACCATCAGTTTCGTAATGACTGCTGAATTGATTATTTGGACTATGCCCGAAGGATAATATTTTGAGCGCATACTCTTATAGGCACTTGGGTTTCGTTATACAAAACTATGACATCTGGCTTGGATTGGCCTCCACCCATAGTTTGTATTGTAAAGAAATGCTTGCGAATTTTTATGGGATAAATTTGTTTCCCTTTTATAAGTTGGATCTCGTGATACGTGTGACAATCAATAGATCTACGTTTATTGATGATTGTGATAAGTCTGTCATTTCTCGCAGTCAGTATGCACAGAGGTTTCTTGATGGCGAATCTATATTTTGACATCACCGTAATCCAGCCTTCTAATTAACCTAATATGCTCATTAATTGCTTTATAAATATTGTCAAATTCATCGAGATCTTCAAATCTCATTGTATTCTCTCCAAGTACGAATTCAGCTTCACGTGTGCGCACCAAGTCTACCAAAGAAGCCGGTGTATCGAGCTCTTTGCTAATGTCTCTAATCAAGGAACGAATAAAAGCCCCCCCACCACATTCAACCCTAAGCTTAAATATCGGGTATGGAGACTGATCAAGTGATTTTGACGACGTGGATGCCCTCGATTCATCAGATATAGCATCGACAACGCTGTCTGCAGATTTTCGGATGGGTAGTGTATAATTATGTTTTGTAGTAAAGTCGAGTAGTTCCAGGCGATCTATACGTACGAAGCGCGGTTCAGCTGGTCGTGCTACTTCAGTTTGCTTACGACCAGATTCGCGTAGACGTGTACCCTCATCCATGTGCGGTGCAGTATATCTTGAGTTTAAAGAGAGAACAAGCAAGTTATTATTATCTAAATTCGCATGGATAATATGTCAATGCACACTCACTTTGGTGGAAGCTGTTTAATGACTCCAACAAATTTCGGTAAAATGGCTTGTAGCTTTTCTTGAAGCCCACTGGGCACAGGTTTCTTTTCAGTAAGTCGTCCTTGAGCATCAAGAGTGTCGGTTTGAAAACCCAACATTGCTGTAGCTTCGTAAGTCTATCCTACCGTACAAATTAATCAATCGATCAAACAGATCAATCAGTCCAATCAGTCACATTCCCACTGCTAAAAAACTGCCATCCGTTTATAAACTTCACCTTGTCGCATTTTAAAAATCTTTTTAGTTCTTTAGCTCCATCATTAACTCCCACGACCACTACGCCTGTTGCCATATCGTCTAATGATCCCCCACATCCCAATTTGACTACTTTTCTACGCGTCATTTCTATTCTTGTGGATGCTGCATGAGCACGGGCGACCTTGTCGATTAATTCTAAAACTTGGGTGCATGTCATACCGCGCGGTTTATTGGTTGCAAAGAGTCCATGGACTTTTATCTTCTTTGCCATGTTTTCTTGTGCAATAGTTGACTAACTGCATGGATCGGCTGTTCTTTTTTCTGCTATATGGTCACCTGACACAACAAAATAACATTCACCACGTGAACAAAAGGTGGCTAGTGTGGCTAGAAGATCGACCAATCGCTATTTGGTAAGATATTTTCGACAAAGCATTAGATTTAGTATAGTTCTTGCCAAAAACATTCATCCATCAAAATACTGCGTTCTGACAAGAGTCTTTAATAGCAGTCGTTCCTCTTCAGCGGTATTCGTGGATGGAAATGATCTATTCATTTATTTTGTGAAGACTGTATCGCACTTCCACAATGTATAGTAAAACCGAATTCTTATAGTGTGTTTTATTTGTATTGAAAGATTCGCTAATTAATACTAACACTAATTTTAATACTAAAGTTAATGGAACCGACACGTGACTAATTATAATTCACATCTTCGCGTATAAAAAACATGCAGATCACCACGAATAAACTTATAATTCCCAACCATGAAAGTGAAAGTCAAACGGTAAACAAACTGCTATCCTCCCCGTTTGAACTTCCCCTTGTATTACTGTCTTCAGCTTCCTTTACCCGCATTAACAGCTGGCATGCAGTAGCAGTCTGGCGCTGGGACGTTCCAAACGAAGAAGTATGTGGTATATGTCATGTCGCGTTTGACGGTTGTTGTCCAAACTGCAAGCTTCCAGGAGATGACTGTCCCTTGAGTAAGTCTAGCTACGTTATTTTGATAAAGCACGAGCGAATGGGTCTTAAATCGGTGACATAATTCGCCATAATGTGCATATAGTTTTTGGTGAATGCACCCATGTTTTTCACATGCATTGTTTATTGAAATGGATCGAAACTGATGGCAGCAGACAGCAATGTCCTATGGATCGTAGGACTTGGGGTAAGTCGGCTTTAAGAAAACGTTGTCAATTCGAAAGTACAACGTATGAATTAATGAAATAAACCTTGCTTTTCAGTCACTGCTAGATCCCAATCTGACTTATAACTTCAAAGTTTGATCTCTTGTCCAAGAGACTGGTACGTTCCTTGAAAACCGAAGAGTATGCTAGTCGTTATTGCATTCTTTTTTGTAAAGCGCTCAAATAATCTTTCATTCTGATTGATTTGTATATTATTTATGTGGCTGGCGCCCTTACACTGCTCGCAACTTATAATAACCTTACAACTGTTCATTTACTCAATTCTAAACTTGTAATATTAAATTATTCTTTTTTGTTTCTATATTATCCATTGAATTTGCTATAAATATTTGGATATCGAAAATTGACGTGAAGACAACAAATTAAAATCCACAAGTTTGCTTATTGTCCGTAGCAATACAAATTCGAAGGCTAACTGTTTTCAAGTGATAGTGAACGCGTAATTGCCTCGGATATCTGTTCTTCCTCGTCCTCGGCCGTTGTAGACAACAATATTGCGTATTGCATCATCTCTTCATCGGTAAAATCTATACTTGGGATGTATCGTTCCAAGTGTCGTCGGCGCTCTTCCCTATCTCGTTGCTCTCGTGCAAGCAGTTGTGTTGATTCCCGGACATCATTCTGAAATTCTAACCGTGCTATTATAAATTGTATTAATGTTTGCTTCTGGTACACAGCGGGTAAAAGTTGGTACAAAAATATATTACCTAATGCTTTGGATGTTGATGATACCGACGCAAGCTTTTTTCGTCGTTGCTTTTCCTTTTTTGCTAAAGAGGAAAACACAAAACAATTTATTAAGGACTACTATCAGGCAATATTAGTAATGTGTAATCAGTATATCAACCAAGTTTACCTCCTTCTTTCGAAGTCAAATACCATGTTCTTATTGTCCTGCCCATAGCAACTGTGATCCTCTCATCATCACAGCAAATACATTTTATGGCAAATGGAGTGCTGATTCCCCTTGCTTGTGCTGAACGATAATGTGATCTCCGAGTTCTAAAATAGGATATCATCGAATCGATATTCGAATATAAAATGGATACTATGCTAATAATTACAAACAGTTATACGTACATCGTACTAAACTGCCGAATGAGCTCTCCAGTTAATTGATCCCAAACAGTGACCTTGCCGTCAGCACTGTTCAGTGTTATAAGATTTGTAGTATCAAGAATGATTGGTCAGAATGTTACGTGTCATTCATTATGGTGCAAAAAAAAAGTTTCAACTACCTGCCGATAATCAGCTTATAATCATCCATAAATGCTGCTGTGATTTCGGTCGTGTGGTCAACAAAAACTCTAGGCACAAAGATTATTCCGTTAATATATAATGCTTACTGGTACGATGACACATTAAAGTTATGCATACCGTAATGGCTTTATGGAAGAGACCTGGCCGTTGTCCCATTCAGTTATGTTCCATAGACACAGTTTTCCACTTGTATCTCCAGTGAGCAATATTCTGACTGAAGTCTCTGTACTATATTTACTATTAGTTACATTTTTCTCGTAATACTCAACGTAACTAATATTTGCGACATGGCCATCTTCTAGCATTGCCACACAATCCAATTCGTGTAAATCGTATATTTTCAATAGATTTGAATCTTCATATCCCACGATTACCGAATTAGATGGCATATCATAATGTAGTGATTTGATTGGTAAAGTTCCCTTAATACAGTCGTGTGGAGCGTCAAAGACATTGTACCATTGTAGAGGATTGTTTTCAATATGAGTGAGGTCTATATGCCAAAAGTGTATTGAGCCTTCAGCCGTTCCTGCAATAACACAGCTTTTGGGATTCCACGCAATTGCCTTGATCTGCGAAGGTGACCCTATTGATCGAGCCAAAGTTTAAATATTCGAATTGTAGGAACACTGCATACTATAAGCTATACGCTTACGTTATAACATGTACAACCCTGTCTAACAAATTGTACATAACTTGTCACAATCGCTAATTACCAGAATAAAGCTTTCCAAAACATCCAAAGTTCGCATGATATGCACACACGTATCCATCCTCGCCGCCACTCAGGACTACTCCTTCACAGTTCCTCGACCATTCTAACACCGTAACAGCACCCTCATGCTGTGGGAGGAAGTCTTTATAATTGAAATTTGCGCCCTGTTTGATAATATGCGTGATGCCGACCATTCCATTCGCGAAACCCCAAAGAATGCGGTGGCTTTAAGTTTTAGATTTGATTGAATTAAATATATCGAAAGTATAGAAGTCTTGTATCATATCCACAGTACGAAAAGGAAGTTATAAATCAAAAAGAAATATGCTAATCGGTGTCAAAATCTCTCGTTTAAACGATTTTTGGTATCATGATATAGATGATTTACTACAGGTAAATAAAAATAAAATTTCATCCTCACCTCTCAATTTTCATTACAGTCACTGTAAAATTCGCGCGTGTGGCATATATCTTGTCTTTGATAATTCGTCCAGTAATAGGATTGCAGCGTAAAATAGCAGCTTTATAGATTAATATGAGCAAATGTTAATATGAGCATTGATACGAGTCGACCACGAAAATGACAATTATTTAATGAATTATACCTCTCCCCACTGAGCCAGCAAGCATCCATGATCTTTCAAAGTCAACATAAAAATCATAGATTGTCTCTAACCGAGAGTCAAACGATATGCTCGAACATTGCTCACTTCTCCATCTCCTACGTTCACGAACCAGAATTAATTTAGTTGAGTATTTTACAATAGGCAGTGTCAAAAGGCAAACAATCAAGTCGCCAACCTTAACAACTCATCTCGTAGTATGTATTCATCCTTCCATTTGTGCCGTATTAACCTACTATAAAAGGGTATTGTCGGTAGAGAATTGGAGTTGATCAATAGGGAGAGAGGATAATCTCAGCAAAGATTAGGCCGAAATTTTACCTAAAAGGCAAAGATCCAAAATATCGCAAAAATGCGTTTTTCCAGCAAGTATCATCATTAATTAATGTTTTCCAGCGTTTACACACTTGACCGGCCATCCCCTGACAAAAAACCCCCCCATTCCTCGTTAGTACAAATGCTAAAGATAACCAATTCCTTCAGCGGTCTGCTTCAGCACAATGTTGTTTTTATCGGGTACGTACAAGAGAAAACGGATCACAGTAAGAAAATATGTGATTGAGTATCTCAGAAGGTACATTATTCGCATAACAAACACCACTAGCGGGACCAAGTAACAAAGGAAATGAATAGAGCGTTCCGCAGAGAAGACAAAGGCGCAGAACGACAAATGCTTACTTTAAAATAGCTGAACTCTCGGAACGCCGTCCATCCTTTGTGGATAAGTCTCGAGACCAGCGGTTCTGGGTTCGTTCTCCTTCAGAAGACGCCCACAGTGAGTTCTTGTGCGAGCTGCGATTCGCTCGCAAGCTTCGCCTTTCATCCATGAATGCAGTAGCGCTTTGAATTTCGAAATTTTTGAATTTTATGCTTAATTTATCATTGGTCCGCAAATAACATGTGGCGCTCGTGACGTTAGCATGACCAACACGATGCTAATGCAAAGTAAATTCAATGGCCATATTAATATGGGGCATGCTGCAACCAGACAAAGTGAACATTCTATTATGTGATATAAATGAGAGGCCGATTATGATGTGGCTGTAAAAATTGACCAGTGTGACTGATAACGTTTTGAAAAGTAATAATGGCGCTTATTCATAACTTTTTGACATGTTAACTTTAATGTTCCCTTTATCATAATAATACCAGAATGTGGTAAATATATACCATAACAGGATTAATATAGTAATAGGATTATCTCTATATAAAAACCAAAGAATTACAGCACAATTAGAAGCATTCTAAAAAAAGCTCAAGGAGAAAATTGCCCCATATGTTTCTAAAATCAATAATACTAAAACTCTTGAGGAATAACTAGATAGCGAAAAATAATAAACCATAAACGAACACGACCACCAACTTATGATGAACCAAGAAAGAAACGAAATCTTGAAGAAACATAAAGCAGGATGGCTGCTTTCTTTATTAAATTTCCATGATTCTTTGTATACTGTTCGAGTAAGAATACGATAATTCTGGTTCGCTGTGCCCCAAGTACTACATCCGACACAATTCATGACCAGCAGAACCTGTGTCGTATTAGAAACATGGGTAAGTATTATTAAAGGTAATAAAAAGGAAACACCCGAATAATCATTAGGGTTTGATCGGCAAATCAACGTTTACAAGTCTATGTTTAATGAACTCTTATAATTTTGAAATTGGTATAAAACCAGCACCATTTCACCCACGTTTTTGCTCAAAAAAACAATTACAATCAATCGAGTTGCAACCGTATTATCGAAAGCATACTTTTATCATCTACAAAATCAAATATCAATCCCACTCAAAATGTTCACTTTCGCTATTGAAATCTGCGAGTTACTGCGCTTATCGCTGGTACTTCGTTCTCCTATAAAACTCACAATCAAGTCCGCATCATAACTCAAGCGCTTTTTCAAGCGGTAAAACAAAGGACAATTGAATCAAAATACCAGCTGCTCGTTGAGCGAAAATACTTATCAAGTATAACATGTTTGTGG